TTATGGTATTGGAAATGAAAATGAAGAAAAAGAGAAGCACTCATAGAGATTGGGGGCTGTCTGCAAAGAGAAAACATTTCCTAGATAGACATCTGCTTAGAAATTAGATCTGTTGATCTGTCCCTGGGCCTACAGAGCAAGAAGAGAAGAATTACAGGGAGTTGACATGACAGAGAAGAGGTAGCACTGGATCATCCTGGCTTCCAGGATGCAAGTGGATACCACCAAGAGGTATTGGGTTTAAACCATCCTGCCAGCACTCCACCCAGTAAGGCTGCTGTTAGCTGAGAAGACCTCAGCATCAAGTGGCAAGTCATCACAGGACCATCTTCTACAGGAAAGGTCCTGAGGGACCCTCTGAAGAACTTGCAGTTGCTATCAAGAGGACAGAATCATCAGGGAGAACCAGAGTGGCTATGGCAACTATCAGAGTTAGCATCCACTTAAGTAAAGAGCTCTTTTTGCTCATTTCCCATTCCTCCTCTTTGTTTCTTATCCCAAGACAGCTGGAAGAAATATGTGCAAGAAGTATTTCAGAAGCAGTCCCCACCATTCCTGAGCCATTCCATGGCAAGGAAAGAAGACAGCAGTTCCCAGCCCAATACCATTTTAGATACGTGGAGCCATGCACCAAGCCTAAACCAGAGGGAAGGGAAATGAGATTTAACCAAGCGGGTAACCAAAATATTAAATTGCACTGGACTTTTAAAAACAGAAAGTGAATCTTCTGAAGATTTCATTAGGGATGAGAAAAGGGAATTTGACTAGGCATGGCTTTATACCCCACTGAGTTGAGATTTCTCAATAAATCTGTCTTTCAGAGGCTCAAATCTTCCAGATCACCCAAGATGGGTCAATATTCATAATCATCTCATATATGACTTACCAAGCTCAACCAAATCCAGGCTGACCTCAAAGAAATTATGTACCATGTTAGAGTCAGGGCCCTCTGAGCTCATTTACTGTGAGTAAGTTCTCTGAACTCTGATCCCAGGCTGCCTTCCTGGGACTCTATCCTCGCTACCCATGATTGACATGATCAAGGGTGACAGCAACACCATGGATAATTGGTAGAACTTAGATGGTGAGATCATTGTGGAACATTAGATTGTTGAAAAAAGAGGCCTGGGTTGGACCACCAGCACTCAAATGGCACCTCTTCTGTCCTCATGTTAGTTCTAGGGCTATGCCAGCCTCTCTCAGCATCTATTATTGCATGTGGGTTATTAGTGATAGAGAAGGATGACTGTTGGCATTGGGGAGAGGTCAAGATTTAAAGCCCACCTCTGATATACTGTATTAGTTTCCTCCTGCTGCTATAACAAATTATAGCAAATTTAATGTTAAAATTAAGCAAGTTATCATTTTATAATGCTAAAAGTCAGAAATCCAAAATGAATTTTGACAGGACTAAAATCAAGGTGCCACCAGGGCCAGTTACATTTGAAAACTCCAGGGGAAAATCCATTCCTTACCTATTCCAGTTTCTAGAGATGGCTGCCATTCCTTGGTTCCTGGCTGCATTACTCCAGTTTCTGGTTTCTATAATAGCACTGCCTACTCCTTCTGCCTCTATCTCCTCCCCTATTGTAATTGTATAATCTAATAGAATCTCTCCAACCTCAATATCCTTAATCACACCTGCAAAGTCTCTTTTGCAATTAAGGGAACATTTGTGGTTTCCAGGTATTAGTACATGGACATATTTAGAAGCTGTTATTCAGCCTACCACACATCTACACTCTGCCTGGCAGCATTACCTGTGCTATAATGATCAAGACAATAAGAACTGGGGGGTCATCTACCAAACTAACATAAACTTGTGTGTCCTCCCTACCACTAAGCCCTCTGTAGGATCAGTCTCCTCTACCAACCTGCAGTCTCACAATCAGAAATGAAATGTGAAACTATTCTGTCTTATACATATGCATCAACAAGACCCAGGAGACAGGATCTGAGACAACTCAGATATTGCTTATGTTACAGGTTATGTTCCAACATTGTCAAAATCCATCTCTTTGCACAGGAGTTCCCCACAATTTTAAGACAATTCTTCCAACTATCCTTCCAGAACTACTTCATCTAATTGTTTCTCACTCTTTAAACCTATCACCTTGAGGAACCTGTTCCAACAGATGTCTGAGAACTTGGCAGGAGGATGATCAAAGATCAGAAGAGACCCTCCCACCCAGAGACACAGAAGGTGAGGGGATAGGATTTGCCAGAGAATCTAAGCAGGGCAGCACCTCCCCAGAGGTAAATCTGGTAGGGGGCCACTGGGATACACACCAAGATACCTTGATATGATTATTTAAAGAGACATGGAAGAGCACATGATCAAAGTTAAAACCATTTCTAGAAGATAGAGCTAGGAATCTCTCTTATGACTATTCAATTAATAGACAGGGAAGGTCATTCATTCCTCTCCTGGGTAAGAGGAGAGGGACCAAATTACAAGGAGCAAGCTGTAACTTGGGACAATCAACATGGGAGACACCATCAAGTTGTCTGGAGAAAGTCTGAAAAGCCCTCAAATGCACCAGGCTGGAAGAGAGGGGTAGAATAGCAGTCACTGACTTCCCTGGGAAGATGGAGATCCCTAAGGAGAGAGCTGAGTAACAGGAAATTTCAGGGGCCTTTGAGAGAGGAAGAAGGAAGGCCTTTCTTGCAGTCTGAGTGATCTAGGAATGGTTAAGAATTAGTTAGAAAAACAAGGGCCTGTGCCTCATGCCTTGGTCTGCATTCTATCACAATTACTTATAGTCAATGAATATGAGTTTCAATGAGGAGAATCTGATTTTTATTTTCTAGTTGGAACATCCCACACTCCTGACAGCTCAGTCTCACTCATGAGACCTATGCCACCTGGCAGTGGCACTTATGAGGCAAGGGGAAATACTAATGAACACTGTAAGCCTCATCCAAACACCAAAATTATAAGATACCTCACAGGGCAACTGAATGTCAAGTCCACACTGAACCTAGGAGAAAAAGCAGTGAAACAGCTCTGGCCTCAGGTGTTAACACCTGCAGGAATCTCCCCTGAGAAGTACAGGCCCCACCTCTGATCCTTTGCAGCATCTTCCCTCCTCTGCAGCATCTTCTCTCCTCAGCTGTGCCTCTTGAGTGCCCCCTACAGCCCCACAGCAGAAAATACAGGCCCCATGCTAAGCTTCAAACCCTGAATGCTTACAGCAGCAGCAACACAGAGAGCTGACATTTATTGTGAACTCTCCACGTGCCAGACACTGCCTGCTTTTTTTTTTTATTTTTTTTCCCACTTCACAATGGATTAACTCCTCCAAACAATTCCATGAGGTAGATACTATTATTACCTCCTCTCTGCAGATGTGGAAACTGAGATGTGATGCAGAGATGTTTGTGTGACACCATGATGAAGTGGTGGAGCTGGGATTCAACCAGTGGGTGGTATGGATGATGAAGACTGCTGCTCTGAAATCTCCTTTTATGACCTTCTGTGCACACTGCCTTGATACATGGAAATAGCACTGCCACAGGCACACAGATATGGAAAAATCCAAAAGAGGTCAGTGAGTGATTCAAGCTGGGCAAGCACTGTCCTTGGCCAAAGGTCAACAGACTGCCTCAAAGCATATTTAAATTTTATAGGGTGAAAGAAGGCAAAATGAAATGTTGTGCCTTGAAGCCTCAGCCCCATTTGATGAAGAACAAATCTGTGAAGCTCTCATGGCCTGTTTCAGATCCTCTGAAAGGACAGAAAGTCTGTCTTCATGCTTTTATCCTGACACTACACCTTGCTGGCCAGAGATACCCTAAAACCACCCTGAAATACTTACCTTTTGTTCTAACAGAAGACAGCTGTTAAAATATGGGTATGAGGAGCATCCATAAAATGGAATAATGAGGAAAATATTGCTTGTTAACTAGCTCTGTGAGAGTCACAGAATTCATAGGACACTGGAACCAAAAGAGGCCTTGAAGACACAGGTCCAGGAGAGTGCATGAGAGGAAGAGGAGTCTGGCTGATTTATCTCAGAGTGTAAGGTCAGTCGCAAATAAGTGCTTACTTCACAGTCATATAGGTCCTTAGATGCCAGGCCCTTTGCCAGACGCTGTAGGCATACAGGCCACCAAGCCATGTGCCTGAGAAGAAACATCCTCCGGGAGGGGTTGCCTTGTTCTGACTCACAAAAGACATTGCATGGGATTAGCACCTGAGGACACAATATTGACTAAAGTGTTACCTGCACTTTTAGATCTGGAGACACACACTTCCTGTCTGAATCCAAGTTGCAAATGTATTTGTCTGGCTTTCAGTGCTTTATAAACTAGGAGATTTTATAAGAAATCTGGATGATTCACCTATCTTGCAAAGTAAGATCTAACAATTCTGGGCTTGCATTCCCACTTAGCAATGATCAGCTGAAGTCAAGAAGAGGCTGCGCTTAATAGATGGAACATGTGTTTTCCATTTTGCCACTGTCACCATCACTCCGTATTGTGTCTTTGGCAATCCTAGTATCATTCCTGTGTTTGAATCTTCCCAGTAGATAAATAAGGATGTAATGCATGCGTTCGATTCTCCCAGGTTGGTTGGAAAAGACGAAAAGTCTAAAGAGAGGACTGCAAACAATGAAATGTGTGTTGACAGAAGTAAATTCAGAATATGTACTTAGTGTATAAACTAGAACAAGAACCTGGCTTTGCCCATTCATTGTGTCCTACCCTCCAGCAGTCCAGTCTCCACTGAACACATACAGACAATCATTCCAGTCTGAACAGACACAGTCCACCATAGCCCAAACCATCATGACATTAAAGCTCTGCTTGGGATTCAGAAGGGACCCAAGTATGGGGATTCTCCTTATAGCTAACCAACCAGAAATCATAGGTCAGAAGTTGGAGAGAAAGTCAAATTCTCTATTACAGCATTAACACTAACCATTATCACATTTACGTGATTTAGAATAATGATCCTAAGTAAACAGAGACAGGCTCATCATTCCCCTCCATATTACCTGCAGGAGAGTAGAATGCATGAAGACCATCCATATCAGCAGCCACCAGGGGCTCTTCCAGGAAGCCATGAGATCCGTTATCCTAGGGGCCTCACTTGCAGTCTACAAAAGAGGAGAGTGTTGGTTTCCAATCAGCTCTGGCCCTAGTCACTTAAAAAAAAATCAATCAGAAAAAGGGACCCTGAAGCCCATACAATACCCTGGAAAAGTTTCTGTTGGTCCAAGATGGAGCTGCCCACTGCAGGGTTAGGCAATCCAGGGCTCCCTTTAGGATGGTTCTACATCAAGGACAGGAGGGAGCTAGGCCTGTCTCCAAGGAGCAACTCACACCTCCTGCTCTCCAGAAGCTGAGACATCCCTGCACCAGCCACCTCCCAGCCCATTTGTCAGCGCCAGGGTGTGGCTATTGGCATTTGATTTAGGAAACTAGCGTGGAGCCAAGGGTTAGGGCACCTGCCAGCTTCTGTTCCTTGAGAAACGAATCTAAAACCAATAAAACCAGCCCAGAGAGGGAAGGGAACTGCTGAAGGTCACACAGCAAGACAGTGAGCTTATAGGACTGAAAAGCAGGTCTTCTGAGGTCTTCAAGGCTTTTCCCACTAGATGACACGCAGCTCCCTCTGGGTCCAGAGCCACAACTCCAAGAGCTGAATTAAGGGAGCTTTGGAGGGCACAGACCTGGGACCGCTCTAATTAGTACACTCTCTTAAAAGTAGGTAAGAGCAACCAGCAGAAGTTAGCTGAGACCAGGAGGGCAGCGGGGCACTTTTTTTTCCTGAGTTTTCCTGTCAATTTACGGGGAAATCAGTATGAGTCCAGACTGGAAAAGCCGAGGTCACACTCGACTCTCTCTTCGCCTCGCGGGCGCCTTGGCGGAGCTGGTGTCCGGGGGCGGGTCGGTGGCTTCTCTCCATCTGGAGAAAGCATTAAGGGCCTGGCCTAATGCGATCCGCAAATGTGCTGCTGTTTCCGACCTGAGGCGGCGACTCTGGGCTGAAGGGAGGCGGCCAGAGCCAAGCCCCAAGGCTGAGCGCCCCCCTCGCTACCTCGCACCAGCCATCCTAGCGCACACTACTACGACTACCCGCTGCCTCGAAGTAGCTCCTCCAGCTCTCTGGCCGCGTCCTCCTCACCCCCACGCCCACTTTCCATCGCACGCGCTTCGCCTCAGTCCTCTGCGCTCTAGGAGCCGGGGACCCAGTTGCCAACCAAATGGACCTTCGGACGCTCGAGGCTACTAGCTGTCTCCAGCCTGCTTTCTACCTAGAAATCCCCAATCCTGAAAAATAGAACCGTGGGGACTGCCTCGATAATCAAGAGCGCCCCTTAGCGCGTGGAGAGTCCCAAAAGACTCTCTCCCGAACCTTCCAGGTCCTCACGGAGTCATATATCTAAGCTCCGAAGGGCGTTCCAGTCACGAAGGCCCCCGAGGCCCCCGTAAACCACCACACCCCCATCTCCCTCGGTGTCCCTCCAACTTGCTTGGAGATGTCACTGCTCTGAGTCTTGTCCCTTTTCAGAGACAGCGTTCCTTTGATCCCCGTAGGGTGTCCCTGCGCCCAATTCACTGCACCCACCTTACACCGCTTAAGCCTTCTAGGACGTGCAACTCTGGGGCCGCGCGGGCTCGTTGAGCGCGGAGGAGAGGCGGGGACAAGCGGCCTCGTCCACACCTCGTGCAGAATCCCGGACCAGGACCTTCCCCGACGCCGGCCTCCAGTTCGCGGCGCCGCAGTC